GTGGGAGGTATGTAAAGTTGCATGTTGCAATAAATTTGGAGGTGCAATTGTATAATAAAATATATATTAAGACAAATGGTGTCATTTTACTCCCTCACTTGAAAAAAAAAACAAAATACAATAATGAGATGAAATGGATTAAAACACTATTCACTTCAATCGTGTCTTCACATCCCCTTTTTATATCCCCTTTACTATAAAAAAGGGAATATCACATTACTATTCATTCATGTATCTCCTGTCACATATCACTGTTCCACATGATGACAAAACATACACTATTCATCGATGATGTTCTTCTACCTTCCCTTAAATGAGTGGGTGGCCACTTACTGTTTATTTATCCCCCCCTCCATTTCACACTAAAATCGAATTGACTACTGTTCAATAACCAGTTCCAACTGTTCATCCAAAATATCTTCTTTATATATGCTTTTGACCTTTTCTCATACCTTTTGTAATCTCTATCTAAAACTAAAAAATGAAGCTAGTTATTTTCAATCACATGGATTATGTTCATCATTTGTCTACCTTAGCCAACAATCTCGCTTGGCAAAAGTCACTACAATCTCAATGCAAAACTTGTAAATCTTAATTTTTTTTATTAATTAACTTCATTTTTTGGGGGTTTATGTGGATTTTGCTGGATGAATTAATTTCTTAGGTATTGTTAGGAGACATGGGCATGGGTAAATCTAGCCTTGCCGCACGCTTTGTCAAGGGCCAATTCCTTGAATTACAAGTAATTTGTTTTCTTTATCAAAATTGAGTTTCTGATTGGATTTCTCACTACAATGGTTGATTATCAACAATTTATTACATATAATGATGATCAACATATTAACACTGATTGATCGTATAGGAATCCATTATCGGAACTGCTTTTTTCCTCAGATAATGCGATGGTGAAGTTCGAGATCTTGGAGACAACCGGGAAAGAAAGGTACCATAGCTTGGCTTCTAGATACTATCGAGGCGCTACAGCGGCAATATTTTATTTATGACATTACTAGCACGGTATCCATATAATTTAATTCGTTAGTGTATGAATTTACTTAATTAATCTACTGTGGAAGTTGTATTGTATATTGTTGAATTTATATTAGGGCATGCTTTGTTTTTTAGGAGTTGTTCTTTACGTACAATACTTATAACTGAATAGGTATATAGGTAGATATCTTAAAAACATTTGTAAATGTCATAAAAAAAACAAAGCTTGTGGTAGCTTTTTCATTTATGAGGATCACTGGAATGGGAGCTAATTGGACTGACATATTTTAATCTTC